CGGCACCGCCAGAAAAGATGACATCTTTTATATCTAGAAATTTTTGAAATCCATTAAACTTCTGGAATGGAAATCCTTACGGCGAAGTTTTATTGGAAGCAGGAAAGACCAACGATCAGGCAAGCCCCTTTGCATCAAGATCAATGTCCAATGAGTGCAATGAAAGAGATGCATTTTTGTGCTGCGCAAGGTCGTGATCATAGGCCATGTTGTTTACGAAGTGGTATAACGACAACATTAGCTGGTGCAAAATGTCTCACATTTTGTGATCAAAGGCCTGGTAAATAATAAAGGAGAAATTTTTTAAAATAAAAATTGAAATTATTGATTTAATTTTTTTTTTTTCATAATTAAAATTTTCAATTTGTTTTATTTTTTGCTATCAATTATTATTTACAATGTTTCAATTGCAATATTTACCACAAAGCTATTGCTTAATTAATTAAGAAAAAAAAAATGTATATGGAATATAATTAAAAATATATAACGAAAATGCTAATTAAATAATTTTAATTTAATTTTAGGCTGCAAAAAAATTATTCCGAAAATTTTTTTTCAAACAATTCAAATTAATTTATTTTTAAAAAATTTCCTCAAAAGGAAAAAAAACAACGAGCATTAAAAATTTTAATGAAAATTAATCGATATCGTAAGCGATTCAAAACAGACAATTACTAAATATACGAATACATGAAAATTAATGGATAAAATGAAATTAAAATATTTTTATAATATTTCATTTTAATTAATCGATTATTAATTTAATAATATTTCATTTTAATTATTCGATTAATTATTTAATAGTATTTCATTTTAATTATTCAATTAATTTCTGCTTACTGTAATAGTTTTATTTTTCTAATTTATTTAATATTACCAAAAGTTTATTTTTATTTTTCATAATTTCAAAAATTTATAATTTTTTTTTTTATAATTTCATTTCTTTCATATTTTCAATTTTTAAAAATTATACCAATCAAAGTTTAATTGTTTTAATTTTCTTTTATTTTTATTTTTCCAATATTTTATTAATTTGCTTTAGGCCAAATAACACAATTGGATATAACATTTCTTCCATGCTTCGAACGTTTTGAAAATATGAAAGCGTGTTTTTGGCATGATATTATCCGATACTTCCGATAATTATGATTTTATAATCTATAACTGATAATGATAATGATAAGAAGAAAATTTGTGATATTTATAAATTTTCAATTTTAAAAAATTATATTACCACTTTTAATTGCTTTCATTAGTAAGCTTTATTATTAATTAATTCATTAATTATTTTGTTTATTGTAATCAAAAAAAAAAAATATTTGATAATTTTGAATTTTTTCGTTAGAATTAATTTTAATCATTTTTAATCATATTTAGTCATTGTATTTTTATATTCATATTCGATCGTATAATAATAATAATTATAATAGTTTATTTAGATATATGATACTGTAATACGATTAAATAATTATTCAACTATGCTCAGTTTTATCCATTATGATACTTTTAATGCAGAATAAAAATTTAATTGATTAGTATAAATGAAAGATTTATGTGGTTAATAAATTATGATAATAAAATATCAAATATCATTATCACTATTTCTTATCACTATTTCTTTTTTTTTTTTGATCACGATATATGTTAAATATTATTGTAAGTAGTAAATTACTTAATTGTTTGTTAATTGTTTATATTTTCTTTCTTTTTTTTTTGTAGGAAAATATTTTTGATGAAATTTAATTTTGTAGCCATTAATTCTTACAGTAATTTTTGGGTTGAATTTTTTAATAATTTTTGAATCGAATTTTTAATCAATTTTTTGTCTTATTTAAATAACACGTTTAAAAAAATCAATTTATTAAATTTGAATTTAACTTTAAAATTCCACAGCAAAAAAAAAATGCATGTATATAATATTAACATACATAATACATAATATTAATAGACATAACAGACACACACACATACACATACATTCATGCTAAAATTATAATTAATACACAAATATGCACTTACATACATATATATGTACATATCCGCATACATACATATATGAAGTAACATATGAAGATGTATAATTCCTGTGTTATTTCATATATATATGTATGTGGATGCATGTTTATATATTTGTGTGTTAATTATAATAAATTTAAATTTCACTTTACATACACATACAGACACACACACATACATAGATATTCACAGACACATATATATATATATATATATATATAGATAGATAGATAGATAGATAGATATTCACAGGTACAGACATGCACATAAATATATTAATGAAGAGGACAGATATACATATACACATACACACATACTCACATAGATATAGACACACGAAGTTGCACATAGATACTTTATAAATAGACACATACAGTTGCACACAGATACCTTATAATTTTGAAACATACATACAACATAGTTAGATGTAATTAATAGTAAAATTGGAATTATAATAATAACTAATAGTAAAATTGAAATTATAATAATAGTTAATAATAAAAATTAAAATTATAATAATTTCGACATATATAATATATAACCGGTTATATATTAGAAATATTTGATAAGCTCGATGAAATGAAATGAAAATATCGAGGAAGTAATAATGTATTTCCGTTAAAAGAACGATTTGTGAAATTGATAATGGATTGAAATGGAAATCGAAATAGGGGAAAAAAGAGAAAGGAATGGAAAAACTTTTTCCTACTTCCAACATATCCATTTCATATCTCAACTCTCTCTCTCAAAAATACATCATATTTATATGTTTCAATGAATCAATCAATGCTCTTTTGTTTGTTGGGGCCGCAAATTCTAATTTCACCATTTTCTTATTTTGTTTGTCTTTTCATTTTTCTCCTTCAAACATCATCTCACTAATACTACCACCACCACCACCACCACCACCACCACCACCATCCATTTTCTGATTCCGCGTCATTTATCCTTCCAATTCAACCATCCATCCATCCATCCATTCCACCCATCCATCTATCTATCTATCTATCCGTTCATATTCATTCATTTCTTTCATTCCGTTCATCATCTTTTATACGTAGTACCGTCCGTTCGTCCATCCATTTATTCATGTTTCATTCATTCATTTGTTCATCCATCCGTATTCCATCCATCCATCCATCCGTATTCCATCCATCTATCTATCTATCCATCCATCCATCTATCTATCCATCCATTCATCTGTATTCCATCCATCCATCCATCCATCCGTATTCCATCCATCTATCCATCCATTCATCCATCCGTATTCCATCCATCCCTCCATCCATCCGTATTCCATCCATCCATCCAATCCATCCAATCCGTTTATTCCAATCATTTCCAGTCATCCAATCATCAAAATCAATCAATCGTTTAAATTTTTTCAAAAAAGGAAATACTTCAACGAAAATAACAAAAGCACTTTTAATTCTTTTCTGTTTGACTAAATAATTCTTCTTTTGGTTGAAAAATGAAAAAGAGGCAAAACATTGAAGAAAAGCTTTTAATTTCTCTTTTTTATTATTAATTATTATTTATTATTACTATTATTATCATAGTTTTCAAATTATATTCTTTCTCTATTCTTTCTAACTATATTATATTCTTTATTATAGTTTTCAAATTATATTCTTTCTCTATTCTTTCCAACTATATTATATTCTTTATTATAGTTTTCGAATTATATTCTTTCTCTATTCTTTCTAACTATATTATATTCTTTATTGTAGTTTTCTAACTATATTATTATAGTTTTCGAATTATATTCTTTCTCTATTCTTTCTAACAATATTATATTCTTTATTACAGTTTTCTAATTATATTATATGATTATACTTTTTTTCCTTTGTTTTTTTTCTTAATTTATCTAATTATACGAATTATTTCTTTGATTTTGTAGATTTCTTCCGAAAAATGATATATCATTTATGGATTTTTCATACTTCGGCTATTTAAACAACGAAAATTATTATTTGAAAAATTTATAATTTATCAAAAAATTTATTCAAATTATATGGCAATAATTACGATGGATTTCGCTTATTCATTATTTTTTCTATTATTTTTGCTAATATCAATGATAACAACATGTTGTAATTCAACAAACTACGATACAATACATAATGAACCATTGAAACGACGTGATGTACCGTTAACATATCGGTTGCATAGCGATTTGTTGAAATATTATAAGAAAGGTACACGACCTGTGATACATCCAAATAAAATTATTAATGTTACAATGAGTGTTTTCTTATATCAAATTATTAAATTGGTAAGTATTTCAATTCTTTTTTAATGTCACATTATTAAATTGATAAGTATTTCAATTCTTTTTTAGTATCAAATTATTAAATTGATAATTATTTCAATTCTTTTTAATATCAAATTATTAAATTGATAAGAATTTTTAATTCCTTTTAATATCAAATTATCAAATTGATAACCATTTTGCAATTTTATTTATTTAAAAATTTTTTTCTTATCAAAAACTATTTGCAAAAAAACTTATATGCAACTGATAATTTTTACTAAATTATTTCTATACTTTCTGGTTTGATCGAAGAAAAGACGCATTGCTTTATTTACATTAATTATATGTATAGTATAATATATAATCAAAAAAGAAAACATTCAAACTTGTTTTTTACTATAGCTTAATTTAATTTTATATTTTCTCAATTTAAATTCAATGATTATTTGTTTAAAGCTAATAATGAATTATTTTTGAAATATACAAATATAAGTTTTTCATATGATAATGTCTAATTATTTTAAATTGCATTAATTAGAACTTATCATATTTTATCAATTTTTTTCATTCTTTTGAATTACATATACATTTTGTAAAATTTGATAATATTTTATTTAACAAACGAAAAAAATGAAGAAGAATGAATGTTTTTTAGGACGCTGTGAAAAATACTATCAGCTTATCAGGTAGTTTCGAACTGGTAAGATTTATCAAAAAATTTTTATTGTTGATTTCTTTCTTCCTAATTAATATTCCTTTAAATAATCTTTTGTTCGTCGATATCTTTTGATCCATTTCCGAATTGTATTATTTGATTGTTCAATATATGCCTTTTCCATTAATACATTCCAATTTTTTAATTTGAAAATTCTTCGCGACTGTAAGAAAAGGAATATTTATTTATTTATTTTCAAATTCAATTAATGGATCTTTTTAATTTTTTAATTATTTTATTCTGTTATTATTTTTCTTATATTTCAAATCAAAAAAAAATTCTTATTTCTTATTAATTATTGATTTATTCTAATGAATAATAAATTATTCTCAATAATTTCAAAATGTTACAGTTTAAAATGTTACAGTAATATTACAGTAATATTATAGTTTAAGATATTACAGTAATATTACAGTTCAAATGTTACAATAATATTACAGTAAGCAAAGCACACATATTTATCAACAATATTTAATTTTTATTTCATAAAAATTTTTATTACTTAAAAGATATTTAACAAAAAAGGAAAAAAGAAATTTTCACTATTAAAGTATATTATTTTAATTAGTCACAAATTAAGCTCTTTACGATTTCACTATTATAATATTTGTTTAATTTTCATATAATAAATTTTTCGAGCTATTTTAAAACTCTCGGGAATACATCGGGAGAATACGCATAAATAAATGACAAATAAATTACTATTTTTATAAGATTTCATAGCAGCCTAAAATATGCATGGCAATTTTAAAATATGCGAAAAAATTCTTCTCCTTTTTTTGCGATACGAAATATTTTTAAATTTTGAAATGCAAAAAAATGAGATCTGTAAAAAGTAGAAAGAAAAAATTGGTACCTTTTTTAAAAGATAATGATTAGCTGCTGGAACTGCATATTTATATTTCAACGTAAGCGAAATTTCACCATCGTTTAATATCCCTTCTTCAATTGTAATAACTCCTACAATGATGATAATAAATGAATAAACAAATTAAAATTTTAATTTAATTAAGGATAATACTGCAAAAAAAAGGAACGATTAAAAAAGCAACGAAAATTTATTCAAATGATAAGTTTTAATTTAGTGAAAATATTAGTAAAAGAATATTTTAATATGAAAATAAATGGATTTAATAAGCATGAAATATTACTAATGAATTTAGTATTTATTGATTATAAATAAACTTAATTGATTTACAATTTAATTTATTCAATAAAGTGATATTTTAATAGAAATGAAACGTTAGTAATAAAATATAACGCTAATTAGAAGGAATTATTACGATATTGCTGGTATATTTTAATTTATACATACATAATATAGTGTACGAATGATTAATTAATCAATTAAATTATTTTATATTTTATAACGAATATAATATAAGAAGAGATTTAAAATTCAATTCAAAATTTGTCAACCGTTAAATTGTTTCTTTTCTCGTTTGAATTGTAATCTATAATGCCAGCTTCTTTGTTTTTCCATTCTATTAATTTAAATATTTATAATAGTTGATAATGATCATAAATTTATATGTAAATTTCAAGACTGTATGCAAACAGCTATCAAACACGAAATAAAATCCCAATATCATTTTTAGATAATTTAAAATTATATTAATGAAACTTATTTTAAAATTGAATTTAGCCTAAAAATAAAAAGTTGTTTATGTTTTTAAGCTTTGGCTAGATTGACTGGTTGCAATTGAAATGAAATTCACTTTCTTTTTATCTTATCCCATGGGATAAAATTAATTTCATATTTTGAAAAGTTTGTTTTTACTAAATAAATATTTTCAGAGAATCTTTAAGAATTTCATAAAATACGGTATAAACAATGAATAATGATAATTTTATATCATATAAAATAAAACAATCAATTCATTCTTTTCAGTTTACAAGTATGTGATATAAGAAATAAAAAAGAGTATAAATGTATGCATAAATTAAAATTTAAAATCATTTTTTACTTCTTTGAAATCATTTTTCAAGCAACAACAGTACCTGTATTACTGACCATTTCAATTGCAACCTGATCACTTCCAATTAATGATTCATTGTATTCATGGAATCCGGTTAATTCACGAAACGGTTTTCCAGTCATGAAGCCAACTTCATTATATTCTGACCCCTTGTTAGTGTATGCTCTAATGCTAAACAAATTTTCTTTTATAATAATTACTATGAATGATCATTATTGATTAGAAACTAAATTCAAATGTATTTGAAATTAGAAGATGTATCGAAAAATGAGAGTACTGTAATATAAAAGATTTAGATTGAAAAATTAGATATTTGCAATAAAAAAATGGGTTGCTCTATCATGAAAAATTTAGATTGGGAAATTAGATGCTGTAATAAAGAAAGATTGAAAATTTAGATATTGTGGAGAAAAATAGGATACTGTAATGTAGAGGTGGTACTGTAATTTAATTTTGTTTCCCAATTCTTTTTTTTGAATATGAGAACGATATATGCTTAAGTATTTCGATGTAAAACACCAACCAAACATTAACTGGTGGGCGATCGAACATTGGCACTTCGGCAAGTGAAATATCTAAAACCTCCCTATACGGTTGTTCAAATGATACCGGAAATCGATCACCGGTCGATGTTTCCGTTTCCCAACGGCCAATTAACCATGATATTGGTTCAAGAATAGGTGGTAATGGAATTTTTAATGCTGAAAATTATAATATAATTATTAGAATGCCAAATTATAAAAAGCAATTAATTTATTATAGAATGTGTATTCAATGCATTATCATATATTTGCAAAATATTATTTAAATAATAAAATTAAAATATTACATTTAAAAATTATGTAAAAATATGAACGAAAAATTTTCAATTTCATTTTAATTAATAATTAAGAATATTTTTTAAGGAAAAAATTCAAATTATATTAAAAAGTAAATAAAAATGATACCTTAAAAGTTTAAATTATTCAAAATTATTTGATAAAATTTTTAATTATTTTTAATAAATAATCGGAGAAAATATATAATATTATCAAATCAAAATTACTATTTAATTTTAGTATTACTAAATTCAAATTTAAAAAGAATATTTGATTTTAAATTGTTAATTTTTGCATTTTCATTTTTCCTAAAAATTTGATTAAGAATTTGATTAATTGATTATTGCATAACAACATTTTACTCTTTGATTAATTGATCATTGTTTTACTCATATCAACAGATACAGAAATCATTCTTCTTTAAGAGTTTATCACAAATTATTGTTTCTTTTTTTCTTCAAATTCGCAGGAAATTTATGAAACGAATTAATATTACACAAATACATGAAATTAACCATATCTATGATTTCAGAATATTTGATTAATTAGTGCATGCATTTAGATCTATTGTCTTTTTCCTTGATGTTTAAATAATTCATTAATTTTAAAAATTAAAAATTAGGTTAAAATGTAACAATTGATAACAAATCTGTTTAAAACAAAAGCATCTTCTCTTTTCGGATATTTTCAAAATATTTTCTATCAAATTTCGATTCTCATTTTTTTGAAAAATTTAAAATTATTAATTTAAATTTATAAAATAAACGGCGAAAAAATACAAATGTTAATTGATAAATTAATTAAAAGTATTAATTAAAAATATAAGAATTCCTAAATTTTAATTTAAAATTATTAATTGGTCGGCAAAAAAATGAATAAATGGAAGACATTAATTTAAAATACAAAAAATTTTAGCTAATTGATGAATTCTTTTCAATTAATAATTAATAATTAAAATATTAAAAATGTTATTTAAATTAATAATTTTAAATGATAGTGAGAAAGTTTTCTTTTTAGAAAAATGTTTATAATAATAATTGATGAATAGTAATAATGATTTTCATAATAATGATTAATTAATATCAAATAGTAATAATATTAATATTTGAAATAGTAATAACAAGAGTAATTAAAAATAATAACCGTAATTAAATGATAATAATAACAGTAATTAATATTTGGAATAGTTATTGATAAATAACGATGAAATAATGAATTCATAGTAATTTTCAATCAACTAGCAATTGAAAGTTTGAAATGGATAGTTTTAGGTCACAAAGACTTCTCTTCTTGTGGGCTAAAACTTTTGAAATTATAATAATAATAATAATAATAATTATTATTATTATTATAATGATAATCAATAAAACGAATAAATAATGATTTTTAAAATAACAATTAATTACTTCCAAATAACAATATTAACAGTATGATTTTCAGATAATAAATAAAATTTGAAATAATTATTTTCAATAATATTGGATGGGTTTTTTTCAACACTAATAATCTTAGGAAATAATTCGTGATAAATAACGATGAAATAATGATTTCATCGTAATACTTAAAGGATGATATTTAAATGATTTTATTTTATGCAATAAAATTTATTTGAGTGATATCAAAAGAAAATAAAATAAAATTATAAAATGATGTCAGAAGAAATTAAAGGCATAAATAAATGACAAACAAATAAATGAGAAGAAGGATTGTTAAATTTTCTGATCGATAATTGAAAATAATATTTGAAAAAGATTTATCATAAATTATAATTATTTCTTTTTATAATAAAATTTAATGAAAAATTATTTTAGTAAAAAATTAAAAAGGTAAATTTTTTTGAATTAAATTTTCAAATTTAATTAATTCACTTTTTTCATCACACCAATTCCTATAATGATATTATTTAGAATTTTAAACAAAAAGATAATTATTATAACATCATGGAATTGAATTTTAAATCAAATGAAATTGCAAAAGAAAAACTAAGGTAAATTGTTTATTAATTTTATTAATTTTATTTTATTAATTTTAATTTTAGTTTTTATTAATTTTAAATCCTATTAATTAAAAATTAATTATTTTACAATTGTTTTTTTTTTTGAAATTAAAACAAAACTAACATTGGCCATTACTTTGACATAAGCCACAACTTTCTGCGCAATTGTCTTCAAAAAATGGTAGAATAGATTTAGCCCATTGACATCGATTTTCTTCTTTCCAACGTTCGCATGATTTATAAATATCCTGACAAGGTCCTAAAAAATTTTTTAAATTTTTAAAATTTGAAACTTTCAATTTCAATTGTACAGTAATAAGAATTCAATTGTACAGTAATGAGAATTCAATTGTACGGTAATTTCTTCATTGATTTATAATATTTAATTTTTATTTCAAAAATTTCCTATATTTATATTTGTATAAAAATTTTAACTTCTACATTATCCTATATATTTATTTTTTTATTTAATTATATTTTGTATATTTAATTAGCGTATTATATTTAATTAACGAAAATGACAAATTCATTTGAGTGCTAAATTATGAATGTTTATTTTGAATTTCTAATATGCAAATTATTGAAAATTAATTTTAAAATTTTTTACTCACTTCGACACATAATACCCATACGACCAAATGGACAACGACATCGATTACCGTTTAAATGTCGCATACATTTTCCTTCCAAACCGCAAGAATTTGTTATTGATGGATCACAAAAATGTATTACTGCAAAAAATTAAAGAATTTCAACAAATTTAAAAACTAAAAACAAATTAGTTTTTAACAATAATTAATTAAAGAAATTTGACGAATTAAACAAATTAAAAAATTTAAAACAAATTACATTTTAACAATAATTAAAAAAAATTAATTAATTTTTTGACAATAATTAAAAAAAAAATTAATAAATTATTTAAACAATAATTAAGGAAAAAAAAATTACACCAAATTGGAATGATTTTAGGTTTTTTTCTTATGAATGAAATAAATTTTCATCGAATGCGAAATTGTTTTTTCTTTTTGTTATAATTAATTACATAATTAATAAATTTGAATTAATTGCTATCGAACAGAAAAAGTTTTTGTTGAAATTTCAATCAAAAAAATTTCTTTAAAATAAATTAAAATATTTTCACCGAACAAAATTTCTTCTTATCCGTTAAAATTTTATTTCATTTATTTTTGTTATTTTTTAAATTGCTCTTTTTCAATTTTCTTTCTTTCTTTCTTTCTTCCTTCCTTTGTTTATTGCATTGTCAAAATTTAAATTTCTAATTTGTTAACATTTAATTAAATTATAAACAATACTTCGTTTTAATGCTTTTATAAATAAAAATTTATAATTACTTTTATTTACTTTTTTTTCATATGAAAAAAATTAGTAATTAATGGAAAATAGTAATTAGTAGAAGAATTACATTTGAAATGGCTAACGAATTTTTCGTCAATTAGTTTATAAAATTTCCCTTACCATTTTGTGTTTGTTCTGTTGATTGTGTCAATATTTGATGGAAATTTTTGATTGCAAATATAATAAGAAATGTTTGATACATTAATTAATTAATTAAATCTGTAAATTATTCCATTATTTTCAATTAACCAAGTTAAATTTAAAATTTGAATTTTTAAAGATATATTTTTTGATATATTCAAAAAAAAATAATAATTCAGAACGAAATTGCAAAATATCACTGAAATAATAAAATTGAAAAATAATACAGCTCTGTTTTAGCGATCATAATTTAATGAAAAAAAAAAGGATAAAAAGGTAGAAAAGGTCAAAGGTAGAAATTTACATCAATGAAAAAGAATTTTTTTTTGAAAAATATATTTCTACCTGTAATTTTTAAATTAATTACTTTTAAATTATATGCAAATTTGATATCTTTAATAATTATTTAATTTCTAATAAATTTGGAATTTTCTGCTAAAATCATTAATTCTCTCCTTTTTTTCTCATTAATTCTATCATTTTAAATAATTTAAATATTTTAAATTTAAATTAGCAAAAAGATTAGATAGATATAATCTCAGTATAGAATAATCAAAATACAGGTGAACGAAGTGGAAGCCATATTTAGTACTAATAGAAATATTAACCTAAGCATACGATAATAAATAGTTAAATAATTAAATGCTAGAAAAAAAATGTAGCATAAATTTTGGATTTTTTTTTTCTAATAATTAATTTTTGTTAAAAGAAAATCTTTTAAGTAAATAATTAATAATCCCCCGTAATTTTATTTCTAAACAAAAGAGGAATTTCATTTTTAAATAGTAAACAAATAAATATTAAGTAAATAATCATTTCGGAAATTTTTAATTTCATTTTATAAAATTTTTGAAATGAAAAGGGTAACTACTGCTACTATGCTGTTGTGTATGAAAAGAGATGTTGATTCTGTCTGTCATTTTCGTCGTCCCACCATGGCGACCGTTGTCATTACATTTAGGATAAAATTTAATGAAAACAATAATGAAAGAAATTATCACAAATTTAATCAATCATTGTTTAATACTTTTAAAGAAGCAAGAAAAAAAAATATCATGTTTGATGAAATTGGAATTAACATTGGAAAAAGTGTTGATTGATATTACTAGGATTGTTGAAATGATAATTTTCCAATGATAACATATATTTTCATATATGATTAATTGATAAGCGTACTATGTAATTGAAAAGAGTACTATGTGTTATGTAAGGTTAGAGATGTTTTATGTTTTAATGAATATTAAAAGAGAAGGTAATAAAACGGTGATTACACCTATTCATTTAAATACCGATAATTCATTATTGATAAATTAAATAGTATTAAATATTAAAAAAAAAATGATAAATTAAATAGTATTAATAATTAAATTGATAAATTAAATAGTATTAATAATTAATTTGATAAATTAAATATTATTAATAATTGAATTGATAAATTAAATAGTATTAATAATTAAATTGATAAATTAAATAGTATTAATAATTAAATTGATAAATTAATTAGTAATTATAATTAAATTGATAAATTAAATATTATTAATAATTAATTTGTAAATAGTATGAAATATTATTTAATAGAATTAAATAGTAATTATAAAAATACAAACAATGTAATATATAATTTGTTATACGATTACAATAGTAATATGCAGTAAATATTTTACTTCATTTAATACTGATAATTTAATAACAACAAATACATTATTTCATTTAATACTAGTAGTTCAATATATGATAAATTCATTCGATGATAGCTTAAGAAGTTAAAATCAATGCATATAATATTCAAATTCATTATACCATTAAAGGGTAAACGATTAATAATATTTAATTATCATGAATATTTTAACATTAATAAAATTTAAAATTATTAATTATAATTATCCGAAAATTACGAATACTTCCGATATTAACCACCGATTATTTTCAGGAATGATAAAATTTATATGATTATTATGATTATTTATATGATTTATGTTGATTATTTTATGATTGAAAAAATTTCTGTTATCATATTTATTCAAATATTTGATTTAAATTATCACGATCTTAGATCATTATGATTATTTTAAGTTTGATAAAATTTTTTTTTTTTTCATAAGTTAATTTTGATTTTATCAAAAATTGCTGATAAGAATTGCAAAAAAAAAAAGCAATTGATAGAATGAGATGAAAGAGATGTGATAAGAAATTCGATAAGAAATTTTGTTATCGAATGAGAGGGGAAAAAGTTATGCGATACGAATGAAACAAGAAAATAGACGAGAATATCGACTTGATAATTATTTTTGTTTGTTAATTGTTTTAAGATAATAGATAAAAGAAAATTGTCAACAAAAAAAGATTTTTTTTTTTCCTTAAATTTTAATTTTAATTCATTGTGAAATATTTTGAAATTTTTCAACATATTTTCATTTATATTTCTGTAATAATTGCCAATTTCAATAGTTTTATAAAAAAATATTTCAAATTCATGAAAGTATTGGGGAAATGTTTTATTAATTTAATTGTTTAATTGTTAATTAATTTAATTGTTAAAAGTTTTGCTAATTGTTAATGAAAAAAATCATTCATGAAATGTTAATTATTCGAAAAGATAAACCACCCCCACCTGTTTGAATAAATCAAAATTTTTTTCAATTCAAAAAAGTTATATTTTAAATTTCAGGTTAAATTAAAATTGGAAATAATTAAATTAAATATTGAAAAAAATATTTTATTTATTAGTAATAATTAATTCGTCCGAAAAAGATATATGTTTAGTTGTTTATACAGCTATTTAATATAGCTATTCAATAAGATATTTTATTGATTAGATATGTTTAATAATTGTTCATGCAACTTTACTATAGCTATTCAATAAGATATTTTATTGATTAGATATGTTTAATAATTGTTCATGCAACTTTACTATAGCTATTCAATAAGATATTTTATTGATTAGATATGCTTAATAATTGTTCATGCAGCTTTAAACTATAGCTATTCAATTAGATATTTTATTGATTTATTTGTTTATTATAATTTTATTTCAAAAAATTTTTTCTAATCAAAATTTTAATTAATTATTTTCCTTCTAATTTTTTTCTTCCTTAATTTTCATTTTTCTTAATTGCTACTGTCATTAGCAATATAGAAACTTTGTTTTTTTTCAATTTTTGTAAATAATTACCTCTCATATCTTATCCTTTGTTTTCCTTGCAAAAATTTTAAGAATTAATTAAGATAATAATTAATTATACTATGAATTTTCATTAAAACATCAATACGAAATGATACCAGCTATTTCAATTTTTCAAAAATTATAGAATAACATTTTTTTTTTCTCTTCTTTAATTTAATTTCTATTTTACTAATAGTGTTGTTTATTGATGGAATTTATCAATTCCCATTCATTAATTAATGATATTATAATTGTATTACCTTGTATAAGAAATTACTAAGTATTTGATGAAATCACTGAAAATTGTTTAAATATTATTTTAGTACTGGAAAGATGATTTCTTGCAATGGAATCCAAATGATTATGATGGTGCTACGGAAATTTTCCTTTCATCAAATGATATTTGGATTCCGGAATTTTCTCTTTATTATAGGTTATTGTTATTAAATTCATTTTTATGCTCAATTCAATCATTTCAATTATAATTTTAATTTCTTACAATATCATCTAAGCATAATTAATTATTTATTAATAGTATAAAATTTCATAATAAATTATTTACTTTCATTTATTACATTCATTTTTGTTGCCAAATTAAAAAATCATTTCTTCAGTTAAATACTGGCGTTACTTAATATAAGAATATAAATATACAGTTATATGATTATATATTACAATTATTATATAAATAACAGTGATTGCGAGTATTTAATAAACATATATTAATTCATTGCATATATATTAATGCTAATAGATATATATATATATATATATATATATTAATGCT